AAAAAAAAATAATAAAAAAAAATAAAAGTTGATTCAATCCGGGCTTAGAGATGGGAACTGGTTTGCTGTCGGTGTGTGGTGATTTCTTCAAGTTCATGATCTGAGCCTTCTCAGGAGGGAGGGTCTGGATGGAGAGGGTCTGCACCTGGCAGCCCTCAGTCCCACAGTGCCAGGGGCTTCTGGGGTTCCACTCTCTGGGCTGCAGGGAGTGGACTGGGGCATTCGGTGCAGGGCGCACCCCTCACGGACCCCATGTACAAATGGCGGGATGGCAGCCCCCTCGCCATCCTGGGCAGGTGGATGGTCACCCAGTGGTGTAACCTCTGCTTAGAGGGGTCTCCCAGTAGACTCGTGGGTCCCCTATGCCTTTGCCACCCAGATCTTGGCAGGCGTTGCCCAGGGTGAACTGTGAGAGCTCCTGATGACTCACCTTTTCCACTTCTGTCTCAGTGGAGGACGTGGGGCGTAGGGGCCGAACCTAGGAAATAGGGCAACTGCACCCTCACAGTCCACCAGGACGACCATCCCACTCTTCCTCACTCAGAACCCTCAGCAGAATCCAACCCCGGAGATTTCTGGCTTTCTTTCACGGACCCCGTTTCCCTCCCTAAACTCCAGCTTCCACCCCTACCACCCCCAGCCTGTCCACAGCTCAATTCCAGTTTACGTATTAATCCCAGGGTTCAAGTACTTTCCCATAGGCGTCCTGAGGGAGTGGCCGGCCTGAAGGGAACCTTCCCAGTGGGGAATCCTTGCCCCTACTGGGAAAAGAACACACAAGATGTGTGGTGAGGAGGGGGTGGGAGCCTGCGTGGCCAGTCAAGAGGCAAACTGTGGGGGGCAGGGGACCCCGGGATCACAGAGTGTGGGGGTTTGGAAAGCGGGACCACAAGCTTGAGCCAATGGTCAGAACTCTTGGGGACAATTCATGCTGCTGCAGTCCCCGATCCCTCTTCCAGCCAGGGCCCTCGGTCCCAGTGCTGTGGGGAATAGACAGCCATCTTTGGGGTCCCCACCTCCACGAGGGGCCCAGCCCACAGGAGAGGACCTGCGTGGAAGGAGCATCTCCATCTCCATCTGAACAGCCAGGGTCAGTCCAGGCTGCTCCATGGTTCAGAATTCTGGTGGGGGGGAGGGCCTTCAGGCAGGGGGCCACTTCTAGTGTCCAGCAGGTTCTCACCCTCTCATGGGGGAGGGGAGGCTGGACACTGAAGTGTGGGTGGGGAGGTGTCTCGAGCGAGGACCCTCTTATTCCCAGAAACCCCACTACCTTCCAGGACAGGCTCCTCCCTGCCCCCCCGGCCCCTGGGGCAGTGCTCCCCTCCACTGAGCCCACCCGCAACACGGTGGACCCGGTGTCCTGGAAAGGGCCCAGGTCACAAAGAAGTTCCATGGATTCACCCAGGGGGGAGAAGGGAGCCCAGCCCCTGGGTCTTCCCCGCCTCATGAGCAGTGATGTGCTACACTCCCTTCAGCCCCCCGAAGGCTCCTTCCAAGTCTCCTCCTCCATTCCCTCCGAGTCCACGTGTTCGAGCATCTTCCAAGCCCCCAGTACAGGATATAAGGGGCAATGTGTCCCTCGGGTCCAGCCCATCTTTAAGGGGGGCCTTCCCGGTAAACCCCAAGGCCAAGATCAGCCGGAGAGCCAGACTCATGAACCCTGGGTCAGGCTCTTGGCTGCAGAGCAGACCACATGGCCTGGCAGCCCCAAGTTGCTGAGTCAGGGAGAGGCACAGCCAGGAGGGAGCGGTGGAGGCGGCCTCAGCGGCAGACCCCCGGGGCCTTCCCCCACCCCCAGCACTTCTTTCCCCTTCGCCCTAACTGCCTAACTGGTCCGGGGCTCCGGGCCAGAGGAAGCACCTGGGCCCTATCCTGGCTCCACCGGAAGCTTGCTCTGGGACCAGAAGCTGCCCTTCCCCATTCCGGGCATGGGCTTTTCAAGAGTGAAGGGAAAGGGTTCGACTCCGTAACCTTTAGATCCCTTCCAGCTCTCGTGTTCCCCCATGGGTGGCTCACAGTGCCTCCTACCGCCCTTCCCGGTCCCCCCAGCTCCCTGCCCCAAGTTCTGGCAGCCTCCTGCCCAGGGCCTGGGGTGCCCCACCGGCTGCCCCATGTCAGGGAGGGGCCGGGAAATCACTCAGGCCAGCTCAACTCTCCATTTCTCTGATTTTTATTCCCTAGGGTCTGAGCCCTAGGGTGGGGGACGGAAGGGGCTGCCCCCGACCCCCCGGCATGCCCGGGTCCTGGCGGGCTAGTAGTAGTTGACCACTCTGCGGAGCGACTGGATGCGCGCGTTGTGGGCCTCCCAGTCGGAGCAGTTGCGGAAGTCACCCCGCTCCACCAGGTACATGCGGCCGCGGTAGTTGGGCTCCTCGTACAGGACCCACCTGGGGTCAGAGGGAGGCCAGGTGAGCCCGGGCGGCTGAGCGGGGAGAGAAGACCTCCCACCAGGCCGCCCCTCTCCTGGCCCAGCTGGGGTCTGGAGCCTGAGCTGGGGGGTGGAGGTGTGGGGGGAGAGCGGCCCACAGCTGCCCCTGACTTGTCCCACCCGCCTTTTCTCAGGCCGGCCTCTCTCCTGGCACTTCTGATGCTCCCTTTCCCCTCAGAATGGAGAGAAAACAGCTTTTTCACCGTGGGAAGCAAAGCGGGGCTACACGCCTGGATCTGGCTGCTGGGGTCCCTCCGGGCCCACGCCATGGTGTGTTCTGACTATGTCTTTGCAGTGAAACCCCACTGTCGCCCTAACAGTTCTGGCCCTCCCACCCCAAAGCGCTCTGCTGTCGAAGGAACTTTCTCCCCGCTGAGACACAGACTCTGAAATTATGAGCCCATCCAGCCCAAGGCCACACAGCCCACTGAGTCGCCTGCTTAGGGCAGCTTCCCCAGCGCTCCCCTCTCCTGTCACCATGGGCCCCCTTCTCCATCCTGACTCCGCATCTGGTACCTGGTGTGGTCTGCACAAGGGTCAGGGGTCAGGAATGCTGAGAGAGGCCCAGCGTGTGAGCTGCAGGGTCGCTCAGGGCCGACCTGGTTTATCCCGGCCTTCCCACACCCCCAGCCTCCCTGCGCCCTGACTTCCACTGTGCCCGAACTGCCCCCTCCCCGGCCCCCAACCTCCCCACACCCATGGGCTGGGCCTCCTCAGTAAACCTCTCCTCCCGGGCTGTGACTCTGGGCAAGGACAGGGCACGAGGAGGAAGGGAGGAGGGGGCATGGCCCATCCACAGGAGCACAGGGACCGTGCCCTTGGGGGGCAGGAAGTAAGGAGAGTGATGTGGCACATTTCCCTCCAAATGCCCTCCGGGACACGGGTCTGTGGGGATGGGTCAGTCCTGGGCTGACTCGGGAACCCGCGCAAAGCAACTCCCGGTATGTGGGAGGCGGTAGGAAGACTTGCCTGGAGGCCCCCATCAGACCCCAGGAAAGGCCCTGAAGGAGGTCACAACTAGACCACGTGATCCAGGCCATCGCCTTTGAGCAGCTTCTCCTTACTTTTTTCTTTCTTTTTCTTAACTAGTTAAAGTCACAGGAGGCCAAGGGTGAGTGCTCCGTGGGGAGGAGAGCAGAGCCCTGGGTCCAAATGTGGGGTTGGCCACACGCAGCCGCTGAGTCTCCATCTCCTCTTGGGTAAATCGAGGCCTACAGGAGACCCTGTGCCCCTGTGGTCGAAACTCTTAGCTCCTACCTTCCCACCATTTTTCTCAAGAGGCCCCGGGGGTCCCCCAGGGTGGGTGTAGGGGTGGCAGCGAGAGTCTCAGGACACCTTCCATGCAAAGGCGTGACTTCGGCCTCCTGAGACACAATTTGGCCAGCAGTTTTCCAGGCAGATTGTTGTTCTGGAATTTGATCCCTCAGATCCCTGGATACCATCAACTTAGGGCAAATGGGGTTTCCAAGAGGCAGAGAAAGGCAGATGTGACAAAATGAATCCTGATAGAACCAGAGTGACAGAGATAGCAGGAATGGAGCAGAGTTGCCCTGGGACGCTGGGTCAGGGGGCCCCGAGGAAAGGTGGGGGGGTCCAGTTCTTCCTCTGGCTCAGCCACTATCTTCATTCAGTCTCTCCCGTGACCACTGTCTTGAACCTCTTGAGGTGTTCCCTGATCCCAAACCTCAGACACAGAGACAGCAGCTGGATCCCTTAGCTGCTGTGACAGGAGCCATGTTCCCGGAGCCCGAGTGGGGCTCTTCTGCAGACGGGATGGGGCTGAGATCTCGGGAGGCTCTCTGCTCTAGACCAGGGACACTGACTTGAAGCCAAACGCCTGGCTGCTGTCCCAGCTGCGCCACTCACAAGCGGGGCAAGGTCACTTTCTGAGCCTCAGCTAACTCCTCTGTAAAAGGAGGTAACGCTATCCACTGGCTCGGTGGATGGGAGATGGGTGATGGCCACCATGAAGATATGGTGGCTGAGTCTGATGGGTACACAGGCTGCCTACGGCTGATGGAAGGAACCAAGTGTGCAGAGGCCAAGAGAAGCCAGGCTAGCCCGGGGTTCTGACGGCTCTCTTGCAGGAGGGCAGACAAGCCCCTCTATGCCTGGGCAAAACCCCCTGGCCACAGCCTGTCCACCGGAAGTGAGCCACCATGACGTCAATCCCCCTGGGAAGCCTACGTGCTGGGGGTCTGCCTGCTTGGCAGGAGAGGTCCAATTCAAGGGTCCATTTTGCTGGGTAAGTAAGGGGTGTGCAGGGTGGGCAGGGCTACCCTTCTCCAAGCAGGGTTCCCCTGGCTCGAGTAGACCAGAGGACAGTCCATGAGATCAGTCCAATCATAGAGAACCATTCGTTTGCCAAGTACCTCCCTACCTCTGCTCCTACTGTGGCCCCATGTGTCCTCACGAAGGCCTTCTTGAGCCATGGAGGAAGCCACCCCCTTTGCTCCACTGGGGTAGAGAAGGCAGCTGAGGGAAGGAATGGGCCTCCAGGGCAGGGGCCAGGCTGCCCCCCCTGCTGGGGTCTGATCCACCCTGCAGCCTCCCCACACTTGGCTTGTGCAGGGCCCAGATGGGCTGTGGTCCGCGGCCTTGCGGCCTGTACTCACGCTCCGTCCCCGTACACCTTGATGGCGTTGACGCAGTTCTTGGACCAGCCCTGACTCTGCAGGAAGGGGCAGTCTTCCTGGAACTCCAGGCACTGGCCGGTGAAGTTGCAGCCCTCGAAGATTTCCAGGCGGAAGTTCTCCCCGTGCTGTGGGCCCCATGGGAGCAGAGGAAAGATGGCAAACGGCACTGAGTTTCCCTCCCCTACACAGAAGCCGGTGCGGCCAGGAACTCAGAGTCGCCCAGGGCTCCGGGCACCCAAGAGCTCCTGCGCTGGGGGGCCAGTGAGGGCCCGCCACCCGAGCACAAGGATCAACACGGCACCCTGCGTTTTCTGGCACCTTGAGATCTGGTTGGACGAAAGGGCTCTATCACTTTAAGAAGCTTCCAAGCCCCTGAACCAGTCCACTCTCCTGTTTCTTCAACTCAAGAATCCAAGGGTTAGAGAGGGCCAGACCACCTGGGAGGCTCTGGCCATGCTCTGACCAGGGCCTGGGCCACGGGGCTCCCTTCTAGTGCCTGGACTGGGGGACCCCTGCCCCAGCCACCCCAACGCATTCCTCTGCCCGTCATCCCCACCCTGGGGCCTCAGGCCAGGGGCAAGCCTTTAAATGATAATATTTTACAAACTGTAATAGAACCTTTTATTAAAACAGGAAGCCAAAAATCTAAAACAAATAACAGATCTCATTTGCTGAAATCCCTGCTGGCTCACTGGGATGACAGTATATAGCCCCTTATAAGATTCCTTGCATTTCCAAAGACAGAGGAGGGCCAGCTCCCAACTGGCTCTGGTTCCGGCAGGGGCTGGGTCTGCATCACAGCTGGCCCTAAGGACAGCTCTTAGGAGAACAGCATTCAAAAAATACCTAGGAGAGTTTTCATAGAAATAGCATTATGCAAGATCCAGAGCCAGCCATGTTAATTCCTTTTTCCAAATGTCTACAGCCTGGTGGAAATACTAAGAAAGCATTCTTACAATTTGAGATGCCAAAGCCCAGCTGGTTTTGTAACTCGTGTAGAAAAGAGAGAGCCCCCCCCCACACACACACACACGAGGCTCCCTCCCTGGGGTTCCTCAGATGTTCACCAGCACGGCCTGGCCCCCATGTCCAGGGAAAGATCCTTCTGCAGACACATGGCTGAGACTCCAGTGAGAATCTGGTTCAGGAATCAGCCATTTCCCACCTGACCATGTGGACCTTCCAGCAGCTCAGTTGGCACGTGTAACTTGGGAGAATCCAAAGGAATAGGAATGCTCAGTCCTCAAACCAGCCCCTCCCCGTAAGGGCAACTAGACATGAACCGTCCTTCACCACGGGTAGCAACACCCCTCATATGCTCTCCCTACACACATCGGGCCACTTGTGTGGCTCCAGGAGACCTGTGCCCAAATTCCTGAGGACTGGCTAGTGACTTAGGCCTCCTCCTTCAGTCATTCCACGGTCAGAGCATCAAAGTCTCTTGAAAAGCACTCTAAGATGACCTGCATGGGTGGATACCTCGGGCCCAAATCAGCCTGGCTTTAGCCTAATTCTCCCCCATCTGGTTGCAAATCCAAATTTCTATTATTTCCAACAGCATTTTAAGTGGAAAATGCAGCAAGATGTTGGGATTGGACATTGGAGGTGATTGCCTGATACATGCCGATAAATGTAGGTATAAAAACTTCCAGGGGCTCTCGGGTTCGGTCCCATGCCATCCCACACACGGGAGTGGTGTGTCTGCATGGGGGCGTCTCTCCCTCTTAAACATCCCACGGCCTCGTCAGATCTTAAAGTTGGGAGGGTTATGCTCCCAGATTATTTGTCCCAGGTCTGAGCAGCACCGACCCTCAGTCCCTCTGGCAGGAAGCCCCCAGCCAGAGGCCCACTCACCATTCCTATGGGGCGGCAGGAGCCCATGTGGTCATTGTGACCATTCCAGCGGAGGAAGTCGGGGTAGTCTCCATGCTCCAGGATAAATTGCTGGCCTCGGAAGTCGGGGTGATCGAAGCAGACCCAGGCGCCGCTCTCCACACGGATGGAGTTCACCCGGTTCATAAAGCCTCGGTCCTGGAAGTTGTCACAGTCCCCGTAGACCTCCAGCTTCCTCCCGGTGAAGTGCTTGCCCTCAAAGAGGATGATCTAGAAAGGCCAGGTTAGAGGGCTCGGGGTCAGGGGCTTCTCTCCTTTCAGTTTTGGGAGCAGACACCTGGTGTCCAACACCCTTGATTGAACCCTGATTCCCAGGCCCGCTGTGCACAGTACGTGCTCAACACCATTAGCTGGGTGAAAGAACGCATGGATGGTGGGTTGAGGTCAGACCCAGGGCCTGGCCCTCCCCACCCTGGGGGGCTCACAGTTGAGCAGACTAATTTCAGAAGATACTTGGGGACAGGAGTCCCCCTAGTCCCTGGGCCCATTTGAAAACAGGCTCTTTTCAAACTCCCATTGCATTTTTTAAAAAAGATTTTATTTATTTGAGAGAGAGAGAGAGAAAGCATGGGCAAGGGAAGGGGCAGAGGGAGAAGGAGGCTCCCGGCTGAGCAGGGAGCCTGATGTGGGGCTCGATCCCAGAACCCTGGGATCATGACCTGAGCCGAAGGCGGTCGCTTAACCGACTGAGCCACCCAGGCACCCTCTCGCTGCATTTTTTTTTTTTTAAAGATTTTATTTATTTAACAGAGAGAGACATAGCGAGAGCAGGAACACAAGCAGGGGGAGCGGGAGAGGGAGAAGCAGGCTTCCCGCAGAGCGGGAAGCCCGATGTGGGACTCGATCCCAGGACCCT